CTCAAAAGGACCTATACATCTATACATCCAACCAAGGCAGTTTAAAGTGCAGACACCTCCTTGTGTTGAGGAATAACCTCACATTTACATGTTTGTTTGTGTTTTTACTCTCTGTGCTCTCCTTCTCTGGAGTAATGTCGAGAGCCAAGCACTGATTGCTTTTGATTGGGGGGGTAATGTTCTCTGTGCATATCATTACATTACATTACAGTCATTTAGCAGACGCTTTTATCCAAAGCGACTTACAATTCAGAGTCTATCACATTTCTACACCGTAGGCACAACTACCGGAGCAATTTTTGGGGTTAAGTGTCTTGCTCAAGGACACATCGACATGCGACTAGCAGAGCCGGAGCCGGACCACCAACCCTCTGATTGAAAGGCGGCCCTGCTATCCCCTTAGCCACAGTCGCTAAGTCACATATCACTCATTAGCCCCGATGTAAGTGTACTGCCTTTTTTTTTTTTTTACTTCTGTGAATCTTGGATTGGATTTTTAAATATGTCTTAAATGTTTTACTTGATTGGAAAATAAACCTATGATATTGGCATTAAAGTATGTATAATGTCCTACTAGACATTGCAGTGGTATATTATTCTCTGTGTGAATCAGATTGTAAGTTTCATTTTTATAGACATTTAGGCTCCTGGAATTGGTCAAGATGGTATTCATGAAACAATAAGTAATGATGTTATTGCTGTTTTGTTTCCCAAATGTCTACAATGGAGGCTGCAAGTGCAGTTAGCATGCGTTATTCAGAATGGCCACAATTAAGGAAACACATTTTCTTTAAAGTCACCCAACCTTAAGTAAGTGCAATACTAAATCAACAATGTTGATAACCTGCAAACATTTGCTGGCCCTTCTCAAATGTGAGCATTTGCAAAATGTCTCTGTTTTATGCAACTGAAAACGGAAATATCTTTGGATTTTAGACTATTAATATGACAGAACAAGCTATTTTTTTAAATGATAATCATTTTGCAATTTTTGGCCTTTATCTGGACAGTGTGTGAAAGATGAACTGACAGACACACATCTCCTTGTGAGGATCATTTCCTTTTTTTTACATTTTACAAAAGAAACCATTGATTTATTACCAAAAATAATCAATAGATTAGTTTGTAATGAAAATAATTGTTCTATTCAGCCCTTAAAAATGCAATTCATCACTTAAACTGAAGTGAGCTGCTGTATTCTACTGCTTGTTTTTCCTCCAAGAACTTTCTGAAGCCAGTTCAATAACAAACAGTAAGATGCATCAATCACAGCACCCATCTGTCACTGAAACTCAAAGTAAGCGATGACAACTCAAAGTTGAAATAGATTTCTTGACTCACTTTTCCTTCTTCTCCACTAGGGGGCAACGTAGTGCCACTATATCATTCCCCCCCCAGGCCCGTGAAGGACGCAGCTAGTGCAGATTAATCACTTCAACACATCTGACTCACCAAAGAAGCTGGTGTTTCTTCACAGCCCTCTCTCTATTTGCCTGCTCCTCTTTAATGGCCCAGCGCCTTGCTTTTTATAACCAGCTGGCTCTCTCTCAGTCTCCCTGCTAAGCACATCTTGGGGGGGGGGGAGGCGTGTGTCTATTAAATGAACGCTCTTTGTTTACAGTTTCCCTTTGTTACCCTCCATCATTTTCCTATACAGCTCTCCTTTATATACAATCTCTGGAGATGATTTTTTTCAAGGTCAGCTGTTTTTATGGCATGTGATATTGGAGGTATCACGGGGAGGCAGTGAGGAGAAGAAGACGGGAGAAAGGACAGAGAGAGATCTGAAGGATAATATTGCTGGGCAGTGGATGCAAACAATGCAGTGTGTGTTTTCAGGATGTCAGAGGCGGTAACACAGACTGAGGAGAGGAGAGGAGTACATTTATTCTTCGTCTTTCTCGTCCTATTCCTCATTCCCAAACTGCATGTTGACCTTTGTAGTACCGCCTCCAGGCTGTATGCTTTAACCTTTCCAGTGAGATAGAGGGGGCCCCTGCACTGGGAATACAAGATAAATCACAACTGCTGTCTGTTAACGCGACAGACAGAAATACACACTGGCATGCTGATGGCACCGCTAAAACCTCTGTCCTTTCTCACAAAACCCTCCTTGTCCTCCAAAAAAACACACACACATGCACGCAGATGGCTAATGCGTCCATAAAGATGTTCTCAGCATCAGCATCACTGGGCTGTTGCATGTACAAGTGCACCCTGAATTATTCATCCTTCATTAAAATGCACTATGTGTAATGATTGCCAGGAGCATGTTTTGGGGTATACTTTTTTTTTTTTTTCGAGCAAAACACAGGGGTCTTTAGATGTCATTTGTGGTCAATTTTGTATGATCAACCATACTCCAGAGGAAGAAAAAAAAATCCCATTTACTTTCTTTGCATTGGGAATTCATGTTGAAAGAGATCAAAGGGGACAGACAAAGAGATGAGAGAATCGACATCTTCTCGTCTCCATTTGGCTCCCTATGAGATGGAGGGAAATTACTTTAAAGCTACGGCCTTGATGAAAGAAAAGGGCGTTATGCCTGATGTATTCCTACCAGAGGTGGAATCAACAGAATGGATGACTCAAAGGCAGAGAGAACATTTATTTCAGAGAGAACCTAATGGGGGATTTTGGTGAGAAAAGAGAGTGCTATTTGACAGCAGTGAACAACACAGTGATTCCCCTGTCAGGAGATGTGACTGGTTCAACACTGTTATTTCCGGTGTGTACATAAAAAAAAAAAATGCAGCAGATGTCATGAGATAGTGAGCTCATTTGCAGGAACAGTCTGGGGATTTTCATCAGACTGAGTATAGCATCAAGATGTCTGTCGAAGAACATGATTTACTGTCATATTCAGCCACAACCTTGTATTTCACGGGACAAGTGCAGAATGTGTCGTGAAAATGAAATAGCCCGTAAACGTCCCATTAGTTTCTCTCACCTCTACTCTAAGAGAAAGCCCAGCACTGTCATTTTGTTTCCTGACAGAGCTGTCAAAGCATCGAGCTCACCATCCTAGTTACGCATAAAGCAAATAGAAATGAAAACATTGTTGTCGGGGGAAAAGACTCATGGGGTAACGGAGACGCCAGGAGCAGGGTGAATCACTTTGCAAGCTGTGCTCCTCCATTTTGCAGCTGCCTCCCACCACTACACATCTGCCACTGGGAAAAAACATCCAGATACAAACAAATTGCTAAGTGACACAAAAGATCACTTCTTCCAATTGATATTCATTTTGCAGTCAAAACAGGGTTTGTCCCCCTGGGCACAAGTGTGTGTGTGTGTGTATAAACCCACATACAGGTGGCAAATGGTGGAGACTGTGCATATGAGCGCACATGCTCACGCACAGATAATACACTGACTATTATAAGGGACTATTAGAGTTCTTCGTGTGCGGGAAATGGTTTTTCTAATGCACCCACCTGTGATATCTCTGGGCAGACACATGCCACTGCTGGGTAAGATCCTACTGTGTACCGAATCATCACTTTTCAACCAACAACACCTGCCCAACTCAGGCAGTTACTGCTAATCCCCTTTTATTGTATTTCCCCTAGGATTTCATGTTATGCATGTTGAACTCCACAGAAAGGATTCAAAGCTCATTTCTAGAGCTGAAATATCTACAAAACCACAAGCTGAATATTGTACCGAACATTTCTCTACTAGGTTGAGCCACACAGTAACCAATCATTCAATTATTTACACAGACCATGCCAGGAATCAGTGATTTTCTTCAGGACGGGAAAATGAAATGTTGCTGAGTTATTGAATCTTTGCCTCTTTGTTTGAAAGCCACAAGTGCCTTTGTAGAATGCACATTCACTTTTACCTGAAACAAAAGGAATCTATTTTAAGCAACAAATTGGTATTTGGTATTGGTAATTTTTTGTCGTATTTACACATTATACAAAGACATTTACATGTGCTGATTAGATGTTTGAAAGTTCAAAAGAAAAGAATAATAGATGTTGAGATGAGTGAGATGAGTATAGTTGTTATTCTGTATATGCTAGGGGTGAGTGAAATGGATGAAACATTCGGTATACATCTAATTTCATACTTGTATATCCAGTGGAGTTTGAAGATGGAAACAACTACTTTGGATAGAAAAAAAATGCACCATTTAACATTTACCACATAGTTTAATGAAATACTAAACTATGAATTTTTTCACTAAAATTTGTAGTATATACTATAACTTTTTTATGATATACTACGTGATACCATTTTTTGAGATACCATACTTTGACTTTTTTGTGACATAGTATACTGTTAGTTTTCATGATATTTTTTGACATATACTATATTATGGCTTTTTTATTACTTTTTTTGACATACTATATTATGCCTTTTGTTGGACATACTATATTATGAATTATTTTTATGACTTTTTCACGACTTTTTAACCTGGCTTCATCGTTCATGTTGGATCAAGCTGCACTTGACGGGCGGACAGCAGGACAGAGGGCAGGACTCCGTTGGGACGAGAGGAGGTGGATTCTGTGTTTACATTGCGATGCTTCGTGCTCAATCACAGTCAACGTTGATGGACAATGTTTTTTTCTCTCATCTTTAATATTTAATGTGAAGATGTCGGCAATGTAATCTACCTCGAGAATCATTTTTGTTGCTGCTGTTTACATTTCTTATGATGCAAATTTTAACAATGCACTACTATTTATGTTTTGTTTTGTTTGTCATGTCTTTGTTGTGTTACAAATGGGCTACAACTGAATTCCGTTGTACATCCCTGTGTTGCATAACGACAATAAATGATCTTTGAATCCTTGAATGACTTTATGACTTTTTCTGACTTTTTTCGACATTCTATACTATAACTTATACTATGACTATTTTTTTGACTATTTACTTTTTTCGAAATGCTATACTATTACTTTTTTTTCAACATACTATACTATGACTTTTTTCAACTGTTACGACCTGGCTCCAAGGCTGCAACATAAGTGAGACAAGACGAGTGATACAAGTAATAAATAGACATTTATTTAACAAACCAATAACCAAACTAAAACTGATCGATCGATCGATCGAAGCAGCAGCCGTGTCAGCCCAGGAGAGTAGAGCAGCCAAAGAGGAAGTGAGGACCAGCCAAAGAAGAGGGGCAGCCTTCATAGCTGGGACCAAACCAGGCTCAGGTGTCGCTCATCAGTGGCCGATTAACATCCTGAAAGACAAACAGACAGGAAACAGGACACAGACCCCCAGTGGAAGGGAGGGATCGTCACACAACATACTATACTATGACTGTTATTTAAATCTTTTCAGACAAAAGTCGTAGTTTAGTATGTCAAAGAAAATTATAAAAAAAAGTCATAATATAATATGTCAAAAAAGTCACAGAAAAGTAATAGTAAATGTTAAAAAGTCACAGTATAGGTTGTCGAAAAATATGTAATAGTTTACTATGTTGGAAAAAGTCATGAATTGGTGCAAAAACTATATAAAAATTAAACTTTGACATAAATCAGCCCTATTCATTAATTTGTACCATTGCCATTAACAGTATGGAAATCTCTGGCAATTTATGTCATCATTAAATCACCCACCCCTACTGTGATGACTTTAAGTGCATCAATCGTACCTAATAAAAGGTAAAAAAGTGGATTTACATGATTCTTAATGTGGTACCCTGAATTATTTAAAGCACCGGGAAATGAGCAGAGGAATACATTTCCTCCTTCACAGAATCTTTCTCGGGCAGGTGCTTTTAGCCTAATATCTGTATGACAAACCAAAGTCACATTCAGAAAGCAATTCTCAGTCCACAACGCAATCTTGGCCATTAATTGCTAATGAACAAGATGTTATTCAAGGATACCTTTCCAATGACCACTTAGGAAACGAAGGAAGAGGACTTAATATGATGGAAATAAGTGTGACAGACTAAATGGTCCCTGCTGAACGCATTGACGCATGGTCTGACCTTCTCTGTCAATCTGGAGGGCAGACAGGGAAGGCCATTTATGTTGTGGGGAGAGAGCTCGGGCTGCAGAAACAGTTTTCATCATTACTCCCAGAAAACCTTGTCAGAAACCCTAGAACTGTCTGATGGCCCGCCTGTGGGAGGGAAATAAAAATAAACAATGAAACATCAGAAAGACAGGAGGCGTAGAACATTCTCGGGACCTTTTCGTCAGGCTGTGCAGTCTCCCGAGTATCATTGTGTATTCTATATACTCACAGTCACCTGGATTTCTGGGATCTCAAATACTCTTTGGTCAGAGAGATTGATACACAGCCAGGTGGACAGATGGACCAGTCAGAAAAAGAGTTGATCAACATGCCTACAATCTTGATTTGATTAACAATTTAGCAATTACCTAATGTCCTCCTTCAATCAATTAGAAGAGGATGACATTTCAGAATATTGCAAGTCATTGTGCTTGATGGCATCAGTAAAATAAGTTACCAACGCATCCTGTCTTCAGTTCATTTGTTACCAAAAAACATAAAATAGATGAATGAATAATATGAGGCAAAACTACAATTATGACATTTTTAATGACATTATTTGTAAAACCTTGCATCAATGTCAAATTCCATGAGCTCATATTTGTTTTTTCGATAGGACAGCCAAGCCTTTGAAGGCGTTTTTTTAATAAATGTTTCCAGGTTTTCAATCACTTCAGCTCGCACCACTAGATCTAGCTGCGTGGAAAATGACAAGCAACACTCGTAGAACGGCAACGAGTTTCGGTATTATGTCTTCCCTGTCAATCTTTATAATCTTTATATGCAGATGTTTTAAATAAGTATTTGACTAATTCCATTCATGTACAACAGAGATGTCATCGCTTGCATTGGGCAGTGTGTGTGTGTGTGTGTGTGTGTGTGTTGTTTTTAGTCTCTAAAAATCCCTGGAACAACAGATCCAACGATTAACTGAATAGTGTAAGAAGACAGGGGCAGTGAAGAAGTAATCTACCAAGCATGCTCGTCATTTCACAACATGGGACAGAGTTAACAGACAAGATATGTCGTGGAGCCAAATGTGATTGTGTCACTTTCTGAAAAGAATCTGGAGACAATTAGTGGATAAATGATCTGCTGCAAGACCCATTCAGGGAACATAAGTAAAGCAACAAGCCAAAGACATACAGTAAGTGCCTTGAAGCCGCTGATCATTTCCACATCACATTTACTGCAGTTGTACTGTTACATACATTCACAGGTCGCCCGTCACTGAGGTTCAAAATTCATTCCTGTCCATGGAAACATCAGGTGAGAAAACAAGTTCAACACTTAGTAGCTGCTCTAGAGCTTTCAATTATATCGCTCGATCAGATAAGAGCTGTCTAGTTGGGACGGTTAAAAAAAACTGAGAAATATAATTAGAAGCTTACATGGCAACTGAGCAAATTTGATTAGCTGATGAAAATTATATATGACTGAATGCTCCTGAACAGCTACTAAATGGACCTTGTGTTGAGATTATAGCCAGTTATTAATCTTTACTGCCTGTCACAATTGCAAAGATCTGTCTTTTGCCAAAAAATTGAGTTTTCAAAGTATTTTTGTCCAAAACACAAACTGTCTGTTCTACGAGATTATTTCAACCCTTTTCTTCAATCAAATCAACTAGTTTGAATAATTAAAAAAAAATCAAGTGATGTTTTTCCTCTTCTAGTGCAGCAGTTTGCCTCATGACTTGATACTGTCAAAGATCCCATGAAAAAATTTGAATTGTTTGCAATCTACTATCGCTGAAATGTAGCCTGCTAACAAAATTGTAGCTCGGTGACTACAGTTATGTTTTAACACAAGCAACATTTTGCATGTTTTACTATGTATTTTATAGTGACTCATCAGAGCTACAGATAGTTAACCACACTTGTTGTCCGCAGAGGTTTGCTGACAGAAGCTTAGTTCCTATTTTCAGAATGAGTCACCACCTTTCCTACTTTGAGCACCACTACTTTACAGTTTCATTGTTCTTACCCACCAAAAACCACCACGTCGTCCCCACACAGTATGTACAGCTGGCCCCATGATAAAGACAGACAAAAGACCGAATCTCTGATTGACGAGAGAAATGAACCCTACACAGCAGAGTTTGAAGCCCCACAACCAACAGTTGACAGAATTTGAGGGCTGAGTTGGTATCTGCTACATATTTTGTCCACAGGAGGGGCTACCATGATACAAAGTACTACAAAACTTCTTGTTCTTGTACAAAAACAAACATTTTTGTAGAAATCCTGCATTTTTAAACAACAACTGATACAGAGTGAAAACTGCAGACCGCATGTAAGGACGAACATGAATAAGGACTTTGACAGTATACGTTGCTTGTAGAGGCTTTGAACATAATATTAGGCATGATAGATAGTTCTTCACGATGGCAGAACTTTGGCACAAGAAAGGCAATACAGAAGAAAACGATGAGTATTCGACAAGGTCAGCATAGATGATTCCAAACCAAATATCACTTTTTTTACATCAGGTCATAGTAAACCATTTGGCACTGACTACCATTCCATTTGTTGGTGGGAGATTAGTGTTTGTTTAAATCATTTGAAAGAAACTCAAGCCACTGACGGGAGGAACCAATCGGGTCAAACACACATGGAGGTAAGACAGAAGGGCTTTGACATCAACAGAAAAACTACATCTGGTGTTACTGTCACAATAGAGTTTTGCCTTCTGCACAGGTGTAAAGTGTGTCAGATGAGTGTGTGTGTGTGTGTGTGTGTGTGTGTGTGTGTGTGTGAATATATGTGTTACGTGTATGTGTGTATGTTTACATCCACTTCTAGTGTGGACCAGACTTACGTTTTGAGCCAAAGCTGCTTTGATCCCATTTCAATTTACATACTTTTAAGTTCCTTTCCAGCTCCCTTCAAAAAGTGAACGTCACAGTGAGGTGACACTGCTCAGGTATCTATATTTCCACAGGAAACATCTGTCTACATAAGCAAGTGGGTTCAAAAAGGAATCCTGTTTTGACTGCTAACCTCAGTTTGCGGTTAAGTCAGTGTTAATTTGACCCCGTCTCCCCTCCATGGTTTTTAATCATGGTGTGTGTTCAGGGTAAGCTTAACGTTCATGCCATGGTTTCCTTTCCTGGGAGTCTGCGGTCGTTGAATGTGTGCATGTTAATGACCTCCTCTGTCTTAACAATGACGGGCGGCTGAGGCTTCTGTTTGAGACGACGTTGGCACTTCAGAGACACACGCAGCTCATCCATCATGGCGCTGCAGAAAGATCGCTGCAGAAGGCAAACAAGAAAGAGGAAAAAGTTACAGCTGGCACCATGCTGTTCGCTACTCTACTCAAAGCAATGCAACTGCGCATAATATAACCATTAGCCAATATTGTCTTTTTAAGAACATATTGAATATTGGTAAGACAAGAGGTTCATTGATGATAGGTACTGTATGAAAGAGATTCTAGCCTACCCAACCGATGAAAATGTATTTTTCAAAATACAGTATGCATTAATTGGTAACATTTTGGTGGGGCTATCCATGTCCATACTGGGCTAATTCTATTGTTTCAAAGTATCTTTTCTTAAGAAAATAGTATGTTTTAAAGCCTTGTTTTCTCTCCATTTCTATAATATTGTTTCTGTGTATATATGTATATAGCATAAAGCAAAATGTGGCCAAAAGTATGTGGACATCCAAACATTACCGTCATATGTTGAACATGAAAAAACAAACCAAACAGTTCCAGAACCAAAAGTACCCAACGGTTGGAAGAGGAAGAATATAATGGGTAATCTTATAATGCTAACTGAGTAGTATCATTAACAAGCTGAAAATATGGTTAGCGAGATGGTAAGATGGACATAGATGTAGCAGCAATCAATGATTAAATCCAAAAATATTGGTACTTTCTTTTAAAACATCCATCACCCTCTCATAGAGGGACACATGTTACGTAACATCAGTAATATGTGCCTCTGTTGTCCCTGCAATATGTATGTGGTGTGAAATCCTATAAATGTCAATATGCTTGTGCATCAACGTTGCCAAGACAAATTTCCATACATTCACTCTCTGATTATGCAAAATCTAATTCAAATTCTTAGAGGGTGTAGGAAGAGAGAAGATGTGAAAGCGGAGGGAGAGCAGTAAAGTATAAAGCTATTATTTTTCGGTTTGTGTATGTGCGTAGGTGTGTGAGATGGATATCTGTAGGTGGCTTATACAGCAGGTATTTTATTGTTTTTCTCTCAATTTTTACATATATTTGGCTGCCGCATGAATGAGATATATTGTAGACTCAAGAAGATGAGTGATTACAGAAGCCGTGAGGGGCAGAAAGGGTGAGAGAAAAAGAAACAGTGAAAAACATTGAGGCGGGATATGGATTAGAGTGATGGAGGAAAGCAGAATGAAGGGGGTGATGGAGGAGATTCGTAGGGAAAGGAAATAGAGAAGGAGAGGCTGATTGTCTGCATGTAAATTACTAGCACCTTGGCAGCATAGAGATTGTGGCATTTGCAAATTATCTGAATATTGTGACCCAGTCTTGCGGCTTATGATTAATGATAGCTGAGATGTGCTCTGAAACATATGCAAACCTTAAAAAAAAAGCCAGAAATGTATTACTGTTGCAATGAAATAACACGCCGCTGCACCGTGCTAATTCTGTAGATGGAATTAATTAAAACATCTATGAAAAGGACTTTCACAATTATCCGGAAACATTGTACGAGTTAAAGAGCTCTAAAAGACATACTCCACACTGTGTGATGAATCATGTGCACTCAGTACTAAAATAGAGCACAGATAGAACAGTCTAAAATATATTCAGTTCCTTGCTAGAAAGAAATGTAACCAGAGGGGTGGAAGAAATATGCTGCACTGAATGGTGAATGTTTTCGTTTTCAGACAAATCTCAAAATGAAAGGACCAGGTCACAATTTTTCTGTTCCAAGTCTGTCTTATAAACAACACTCAACACTCGCATGCAGCTTTTGGTCACTGTGATAATTCCTTTCGTCCATACTGGCCATGCAGAGATCCCCATCCTGATGTGACTTCAAATTAAGAGATGGGAGACAAAATCCACAGTCCTCCGTCCAAGCAAAAATGCATTGTAAATGTCAACATATAATAAGTAGGAGCTACCAAAGTTACAGTGTAAAAAGTACAGAATGATGTCACTTTAATATTATCCCTCCACTGCAGCTCAGCAAGGAAACACTGTCTGAAACGTAAGAAGGAATGTTGTGCTAAAGAGTCTATACCACTAAAATACCCATTTGATTTGAAGGATGAAACCTCATATTAGCTTCAGTTCAAGGGATCTCTTCACGGCCAGTATGGACAGGAGGGAAAATAACAGCAAACAAGGACTCAAATGATACAGAGCAGAAGTTATGCACACCTGTAGGTTGACAGGTGCGTAGGAGAAGGCAGAACAAAAACTCCAAATAGAAACAACAAATCTCTGAGACAAAGAATATATGACAAAATATATTAAATTTAATTCTCAACATGCATCAGAAAATACTCCAGTACCTTTTCCAGCTGGGCGTTCTGGTTAGACTTGTAAATCACCTCCCCTACTGCCACAAACACTGACAGCACCAGTCCTGCAGCCAGCACGATGAAGATCCCGCCGATGTTCTGCACCCCCAGAGCGCTGGCCTCTTTGCTCTCCTCCTCAGGACAGCCGTTTCCTCTCCACCACTTCTCCTTCATCATGTGCAGCTTCCCTTCCTCCTGGAGCTGCAGAATGGCTATCGTGATCTTGTCTCTGTACGGAGATCCTGCGAGGACACAACATGAGATTAGTGGGCATGGATATAATAGTGGGATACAATAAAACCTGATTATAGCTTGCGAAGTTATTGTTGAGTATATGTGTATATATATATATCCAACGGTGGTGGGTGTATGAAACACGCTCTGGCTTGCATGTGATCATATAACCCTTCATGTTATTGTTGGCTGCTTAGAGGGAGTTCTTTTCTGTAAGTCCTTCTTCAAATCCCACTAATCCCTATATTCACAGAGTGACTCCAAAATTCTCACTCCTCTCTGCAGTGTGTGAATTATAATGCACAGGGAGTTGGCAACAAAGACTTGGCTTTGTGTAGCAGAGCTGCTGTTGATTCTGACAAATTAGCTGCTGTTTGCACACGCTTTCACATGCTAAAAATGGTGCACATAAACAGGAAAAGAACAGAGAAGCCCAGTTGACATTACATGGGTAAAAGTGTTTGGGATTAAATGTGTGTATCTGAGATAGGGTTGCTCTATGACTGTGTTTTTATGCATGCTAATGTCATGATAAGTAAAAGAACCCAAATCCACAGACGGTGGGAAGGCGCCAGAATTAGCGACGAGGCATTAAGGCGCAGCGGGTGCTGGTTTGATCAAAGGAGGAGTAATCGTTGCAGGGTACCCGAGTGGGGTCGTGTTCCTCTCCCATCCACAGCATGTGTCACACAACACACGGCCGATCGAGGCGCAGCGCACACTCTGTGCCCGAACCAGGCCAGGAAAGATTAATACTTACTGTGAGCATTCATGTTTCATTCATAAACTGGTTCAAAAGCTTGTTAGTGTATTTATATGATTACATACATAACGAGGCTGGGTTGTACATTTCCATCCCATCTGCTTATTTAGTGACTTAAAAGAGATGAAAGAGTGGTAAAATGTAAAATTTCTGTAATGTGGGCTAATTGAAATCATTTTACGAAACACAGGGACATTTTGTGCTAAAACTCCGGGGGAAATGAACTCATTATGGCCCCAGGTAGCAGATAGCATAATTTTGTCTGTTGCTCTCACACAGTTTTACCTCTCAGCCCCTTTAGCTCCCTCTGTCTCATCTATCATTTACCTATTGCAATCCATCATCCTTTCATCTCCACCTCTCTGTGTATTTAGACTGACGAAGTGAACAATAATACAAAAACAGAAAATGACTCAAAGTGCCACTGAATTCTTACCAGCATGTCAGTGTTTGCGTCTTTGATCATGAAGTCTATTTCTGTTTATGTGCCTGTGCTTATCAGTACATGTGTTCAAAATGTCTCTGAGAAGTGCACACTTTGAGACAATAAAATTCATACGACACATTAATCCGTTCATGTACATACAGTGTTGACTATCCAGTCATGTATATGCATGTGCACGTGCATGTGAAAAGCATTATGCTTGCTTCATTTGAAGATGAGAAATCTATCAAGTATCCGAGTCCCCCGATTCAGGCTCCCCTCATATTTCAAATGATTAATGATGGCCTAACAAAGCAGGCCTTGGATAAATGCTAATAGGATGGGTCCTTAGAGAGGAGGATATGGAGAGCGGGGCCCGGGCAAATGGAAAAGCGCTGTGCTTGACACACTGTGCATACACAACTACCTGACAGATGTTCAACACTGGAGGACATCCATCACTCCCACACTGTCTGGCCTCAAGTATTAATGTGATCACAGTTTAAGTCGATAGCCGTAGATGAGGCATTTGCATTTTGGGAAAAGGACGTGTGAAAACCACCAAGAACTAAAAGGTTAAGACCTATTTTACAGCTTGCTCTGGTTTATTGCTGTAACAGCCCTACAGGGAATGCACTGCAAAACAGTGTTAAGCACGGCAAAAGTTATAGGCCAGAGGTTGACACGAAGGCTGAGGTCTCTTTGGGACCAGAAAACAAGGGGAGTGCCATCGTCTCAAATAAGATTCCTATTATTCCAAAAGGATTGGTGGCATGAAAACAGAACTTACTTTGAATTAATGATGCAAGTAATTATCGCAAGACGTCTTCTATTAGAGAAGACACATTTTGGAGGCTGCGATCAACTATGTTTCTGAAATATTGAGCAATGAACATCAGCATGAGAGATTGAAATGATTTAGAGGGCAGTAACAACTTTAAAAGCTGACATCTTTAATCATTATTTCTTTATGCATTCAAATACTAACCCACTTATTGCTGAATTAACTTTGATTTGGGGTGTATTTTGTACTCGTATACAGTATTTGATAGACTACGTCATCACATTAATGGAAATAGAGCTGATCCACATTCTCTGTCTGTGTGTCCGTCTCAAGGGCATCAGTGTTAGTACTTCTGCACTTATAAGGATCACAGTGGGACTATATTTCACAGCATCACCTAAGCTTTGTTACAATCACGGCAATCATGGCATCCCTGCAGATCTATAACTGCCACATACTCATCAGCAGTAGCCGGGTCCAGATGTGGATGGCCAGAATTAATCCTCCATATTTTGATGGCCTTCATATCACTCATGATATATGTGGCTATTACAGCTGGTCGAAGTGCTCTCCGTGGCCTCGTCATGACCACTCTAACCTCTGCAACACGGGGATTGGAACCATCCTTTACTGTAGGGTGTCCTGGAGCGTTAGGGTTGTAAGCTACACGTTTATTAAACCTGACAAAGACTATTTTATATGCAACACAATTGTTATCATCAGTGGAAAGTGGTTTTGATACTTCTGCCTCATCATAGGATGGCGCCTTCAAATGTCGGAATGCAATTTTTGTACAGGAGAGGGTAAATAAGCAGGTGTGAAAATGTCTTAGTGCTCGAACACACACCATGAGTGCTTTGTTGTTGTGGTTTAAAGCTCACAATTCAGACGGCGTCAAGTAAGTCACAGGGAATTGGACTAAATTGACTTTCGGGTTGGTTTCTGTGATTGTTTCACGGTCTTGCACTCACTGCCTTATGTGACTGCAAAGTAGGCTGAAACACACCATTAAAGTATCGTGATTTAAAGGTTTGATTCCCCTCTCTGTAAATAATCCTGTGAGACAATGCATTATGGGTAGAAACAAAATACAACCCTGCTAAAGGAGAGCTCCAATGGCACCTGAGCCCCGGGCACAATTTAACCTTAAACATAAATTCAACCTCTTCAGCCATTCGCTTTTCATTAAGATAAACCTTTTACACCTGGCACTGTTGAACCATTACACCCGTGACCCCATCAATAAAGGTCAACCGTTTTCATTCTCAGAGTTTATCAATCATCCACACTATGTACAGTACCTTTATCTACCACACAGTACATCTGCAGTATCTCTCTCTTACCTAAAGCTTTTCAAACCTGTTCATAAACACATCAGGCAGCACAGAGGCTTATACTGTAGAGGTTTGAGGATATTTACCCATAGGTGTTCCCACTCCGTAGGCTCTGGAGTCTATGAGGCCTCCAACCTGTGTGAGGTTGCAGTTGCGCTGGGTGACAAACTCGATGGTGGTGGACTCCATGAGGAAGGCGTAGTCTGAGGTCAAGGCGCGCTGGATGCCCTCATCCACGTTCTTGACCATTACAGATTGCCTCCTGCTGTTCATGAATTCCCACATCTTGTCGTAGGTGGAGATTTTGGTTTTCTGCGAGATACCAGAGAATAGAAGTGGAATAAGATTGGTGGCGTATTAGGAATAAATACGGTAATCAACCCTAAATTCTGCAGTTAAAATCATTTTGTTTCAAAGTCAGAGAAAAGGAAGTTGAAGTTATAATCCTTAATATTCTTTACATTATTTACATTCTGCATTTTTTTCAGCTACACATTTTATGATACATTTTTACATAACAGCTTAGATTTTTTTTTCCCTGTACCGATGTGAGGCATGTGACATGTGGCATGTGTACAGATTGTAAAGCCCTCTGAGGCAAATTTGTTAATTTGTGATTTTGGGCTTTACAAAATAAATTGAATTGAATTGAATTAATGGTGACGTCCGCCTTTCCTGCGCTGATTTCAAATTGCCTAGCTTCACTCAAGGTATTCACAGGATGCAATGCATGTGTATGCATTTACATTCTATACACTAATGGCTGTAAGAGCATCCATTCCAACCATCACGCCATCAAATTCAAGGGCGACATAGTCCTCCTCTTAGGGTCTGTACAGGTACATAGGCCCAAACTCAATGATTTAGTAGAGTGGTGAGAAAATGCACTGCTGGAGTTGAATGTCCCTCAAGACTAAGGAGATTGTTATTGATTTCAGGAGGGAGGCTCCTAGGACAGACCCAGTGGTTGTACAATGTGATTGTTGTTGTAATATGTTGTGGGCCAGTATACATATATTGACAGACATCTTAAGGGTCGACTCTTGTGGAAATTTGTCTTTGGTTTCACAGACATGCATACACTTAAAAGCTTTCTTTCCCATCCGTCAAAATACACATCAAAAAAACACACACAAAAAAACCCCTAGGTAAGTAATATAATGTAGTATTTGATAACACCATGAAGTTTGAGCAAAACACAGAAGCCGTAATGAAGAAAGCACACTAACGCCAATAGCTCCTCAGGAAACTAAAACATTGAGAGTCTAAAACCCATCCTACAAATCTTCTAAAGTTCCTTAATCGAGAGTACTCTCTAAACCATAGTAAACACCTGTTACATAATTGCCCCCCGCAGTCTCATTCTATGAGCAGCAGCTCAAAACAAATGCCCATGACATCATGGAGGATAGTACTTATGTCCTCCACCCCCAGTTCTAGATGCTTCCTCTTGGGTGCCATTCATTCCGGAAGCCATGATCAGCCGGGTGAACAAGGAACTGAAGGAGAATAATGGGCTTTATTTGAAGCTTGGCACATAACATAATTAAATGCCTATCTGCCATGTGGACTACTTCCTTATTTATTATTTATTTTTAACTTTATATTATAGAATGTGACTTTCATTACTTTTTAAATGCAACTGCACTATCAGCTCAACACAGTCTCAAACAGTCTCAAACAGTCTCAGACACACTCATTTTTGGACAGTTTTAAATATTGCAGGGAGCTACAGTATATAAATGAAAATTGCTGTTGCAATAATTATTGACTGATATCTTTACTAAAACAACGTGAGTTTGTTTGACTGCCTAGCAAACTGACACAGTTGCTCTTGTGCTTTATTAATGACAACGTAGCTGCTAAAAGTAGCTGTTCCCACAGGTGACTGAAATCTTAAGAATTATAACTTTGATAAGTAAGAAAAGAATATTTCATATAAAAAAATACCCTATAAACACCCTGGCAGACCTATAGCTACCTTGAAAAAAGTCATGGTTGCACCGTCCTCCACCACCCCATACAGGATTTTAGTTTGCTTGGCCAGGTCGTCGGCTGAGTCGATGGGCGACTCCATCCTCTCCACAGTGAGGAAGGCAGCCAAGTTGGCCGTATATGAGGAAATAATGATGAGGGTGAAGAACCACCAGATGCCTCCCACTATTCGTGTCGACAAGGCCTTGGGCATGAGCTCTGATCCTGGGGTGAGGGAGGTGGTAGGAGGCATTGTTCATTTTTAACATGCAAAAAAACGAAATAAGATTAGTTCATTTAAAAACAGTCAAACTTGTTCCAAGAACTCTCTTCAAGTTTTCAGCTCAGGCAGATGCACCACTCGCTTCAAGAGGAAATCATTTGAGAGAGCTCTCTAGACAAGATGATTGTTGGATTTCAAACAAGTGGAATTATCTTGTCTCAGTCGCAAGTAAATTCTTTAAATAATGCCAGGAACACAAATATACAGTATATATATATATATATATATATATATATATATATAGGTGTTTGCATAAATCAATCCCATCAAATCAAAGACATTCAATATCGATGGTTCAGAGCAGCGTGGAGAAGTGACAGGCTGTTTGGGCCAGAGAGTCATGTACCCAAGGTGACCTCACATCCTGACTCCACACCTCACTGATCTCTGGGTGCTGATGGGCCAAGGGCAAGAGGAGAGGACACTGGGTATTACAGTACTGTCATTATCATGATCAAGAACCTATTTGTAGACTGTATGATTATTAAATAAATCTCACAATACACGCAAGTTGAGCTGCTGTTGCTAAAAAAAGAAAAATACTATTACTCTTCTTCAAATTGTAATCTGATTTGTAATTCAGGATTTTGAAACAAGGGTAATTTGATTCTACTCAAATGGTATTCAAATCTATACCTCTCATATAAAAATATATTCTATGCTCTTATGAGATACATAGATTAAAAATAACAAAATAAAAAAACATTACATGCACTTTTACTCTAAGTTCTGTCTTTCTAGCAGTCGAACCCCAGAGATCTCTCTTTGTTGCCGCGAGCTTGGACAAAAAACCCAACCCTCAGAGACAGTGGGATGTAGAGAGCTCCGGCTCCAAAGAGCAAAAGCAGCCACAGGCTGAGGCAACTACCTTGCTGCATGAGAGCCCCAACTCCAAACCAGAAACTATTGAGCAGCGTAAAATTGTTTTCCACTACATCCGAGTCTGGGTTGCATGGATGCGGGTTGTACCACTCGTAAGGGCTAAACCTATAAAAAGAAAGAGCACAGAGACATATGTTAGCATGAAGCAAAGAACAGTGTGTTCACTGTTGCAGATTAAAGGGCACATCAAACATACCATTTAAAACATTGTGAGCAAGAACAAAGGGAATGTAAATGTGTAGGAATCCTGTATTGTGGCCTCAGGGTCAGAGCTTCTGCAGAGACCAAAGCAAATCATTCTGACTTTCGCCGAGATCAACGTATTGGCGTATTCAAATGCCATCAGTTTATTGTGAGAACAGATCAATAGGCTGGAATAACACTGTCACCGATGATAATGTCCTAGTGCGCGATGATCTTTGGAGCTCATTTGGATTCACTGACTCAGGAGCGTTTATGTGTTTCCCCCATCAACTGCAATCACTGCTACTCTGCAGATGCCACATCCTCCTTACACCCCGAACATGGGACTTGTCTTCTTCTTTTGTCTTTTTGGTTTCTCAACATGCTGCCCTTGTTCTTCCACCCAGCAGCTGCTTTTCCTCTTTTCTCACACTCCCCTCACAGCTTCATCTCTTTTCCCCATACTGCACCATTCTACACCTCACTTTCCCCGCAATTGCCTTGCTTTCCCTATGAACCTCCCCTGTTTACCCCCCCCACCGGACATTTCTCATTTATTATCCTAAGCAGAAGTGGCATGGTATTAGCGCAGGTTGATTGGGTTAGTCTTAAGCATCAGGAACTGATTGAGTTTGTGCTGAAGTGGATGATAGCGGGAACATTGCATATGCATCAGGTAAGGCTGTTTAGCAGCTTCCCCCCCCCCAACTTGGCCCACATGCTAATAAGCCTGTGGGCTGAGTTTTTCAGGTTGATGCTGCGCAGAAATGTGATGCAATTTGCACTTTTTAGAGACGCATATATGAATATACCCGCATTTCCCGTGTACGACACAGAGCAGCATTTCACATTACCAAACCCAATATTATTTGACGGCAGTTTTATGGCAGCAGCTATTTGCCACAGAGACTGCATGATTGCTGTAGATCTGCATACAGATACGTCACTCGATCTCTCCTTGTTGCTGCAGCTGCCTAATTACCAACCCTATTTTACAAGCATTGTGAACATGGCAACATTTTTATAGTCATATTCCTCTTACTTTGAAGCTATTTTCTATGCTGTCCCCTTGAGAAGCATCTACGTTGACATGGTTGTGATGACACACTATAATTCTTCCTGTCAACCCCATCAGGATGTTGGATTTGCCGGAATGCCAATGAGCTTGGTCTCCTTGGAACCACAGGCAACTGAAATGGCACAATGGCCTTATGGAGCTTTGCAGAATGCCATGTGTGCGCTCACATGTGTTCGTATTTATGTCTGGTTTTATGCCTGTGTGTATCAAGCCTCTGGCAAATGAATGTTGGCGCATGTGCCTTTAGCTGTGTGGGTGTGCATTTACATTTGCTAAATCAAATCCATCTCAAAGTCAAATATTTTCTGCGATGATTTATTTATATTGCCGATTACGGACGTTACATATAATGTTGAGCTGCAGCCTGAGGCCAATTGTTGGTGACATCTGATATGTGCCATAGGTGAGATAGTATAAGTCTGTGTAAATCTATGTAACATGTTCATGATTGGATTGCATTTGTCCTTCTCAATGTATACATGTGTATTCTGTATGCACCCCCCACCGATGGCTCCTCTGTATGACCTTTGCCTGCAGCTGGCCCATATTCCTGCAGGTCGTGTTCTGCACACCGATCACCGGGAAGAAGGGGACGTGGAACACGCGGAACGCAAAGGTCACCTCCTCACACCAAGCACGAGGGACATGTTGTATTGCACACAGAATTCTAAAAAGATTATCCCTCTCTCACGTTCCTCTTCTCCTTCGTCCGTCCCCAGCCTCAATAACACGACACACTCCCTCCAATAACTGTCTGTTGGATTCAATTACTCTGACTGGCATTATGGATCTGCTGCCTTTCTTTTCTCAGGCCAAGTGAAGAGGCTGTGTTGGGGATGTTAAAATCATAGGTGTCCGGGTCTTGGATTGCACAACTGCAACATCCTGTAATTACATGTAAACTTTTATAACGCAATTTAAAGCATCCATTCTTCTTGGCAGGTGGACATTTTCTATACTAGAAAAGGTTTTGCGACCTGAAAGAATACCATTTCTTTTCTTAATAAAGAGAGGAATCAATTCAACCACAAACAGAGCTGGAAGGAACCAATGAGTGAAATGTATTTCTCTGGAGCTTGAAATGAGAAAGCTTATTAAGTCAGAAAAAATTATGTTTGTGTGTGTGTGTGTGTGTGTGGGAAGCAGTTCAAAGACGTGAATCCCTGGTGAGATTGAGGTGTTTAGTGTTTTATTGTGCAAAACCAGTACTTCATAAGCTCACTCAACTCACTCTATTTGCAGAGGATTAAAGAAAATAATATACTCTGCATTGGGGGGATTGACCAATCAATCGGTGGCCGTGCAATCAATACCACAATTATGAGAGAACTAGCTCAGCGTACTGAAGAGTAAAACACTGCACTTCAGATTTAAACTCTGCTGAATGTTTTTGGTCACATAGTGTGAGAACAAGCACTATTTTTTGCCATGGTGTGCAAAAGAATGGCACAATGCATGCATGCAGACAAGGGCATTATAATTTAATAAGAGTACTGAGACCATTTCATTACAACCAGAAGAATATCAGTATAATTGCATGCTAATCACTTACCCTGACCATCCGTGGAAACAAAGGGCTACGTGGGATCATTTGCATATTCTGAACTAACTTAGGTGACAGTTGCTGCTTTCCTCTCATGTGATCATTGTGCCGGTAACATTAGATGCAATGTGCATTAAACCCAAACCTCTCGGAATAAAAGCAGAAGAAGAGGAGCCCTGGGGTTAACACACAACTTTCGACATCGGTCATGCATCTGGGGTTTTAGGAGGGTGGGTTCGCCGAGATATCTGTAAGAATTGTACCTGTACATTTCTTACAGAGATATATAACGAGTAGCTGGTTTAACAGTTGCTGATGCTTGGGCAAATATGCCCGAAATAGTGTCAGTAGTCAGCAGATTTTAATGACATACCAGTGTTTTTCCTTGTTTTAGCTAATTTACTGTAAGGCACTGCAGGTAATGACATCATCTAATCCTTTTAACTACCTTTTAATTCTTTTCATCAAAGTTTTAAGTTTCAAGTTTTAGCGTCATTGTCAATGTTTGATAATGACGTTAAAACAATTGTTTTGAAAACTTTTCTGGGTGGTGAGTTCAAATACTGGTGGGAGGTTCGGAAATCTGAGATTTGTTTTTTTGCCATCCACAGTTCACTTCCAGTTGTATTTTAAGGCAATGACTCTTGCTGGAGTAATTATGCCACCAGTCAAAGCTTGTTGCCCGGAGGGAGCAACTGCTGTGTGTTAGTGCAAACAGGTAGGAAAGAAGGACGTGGAGGAAGGAAGGAAGGAAGGAAGGGAAAGGGGGGTGGGGTGGGGGCTTGACATGTTACCTGGCTATGACAAACAGCACACAACTGACACCCAAGCAAGCCAGCAGAATATACATCCAGATATCGGGTGAGAGGGGGTTGAGAAAGGAGAAGACCCCAGGGTTGGTTCCGTTGGGCTTGCGGTACAGGATACTTATCCCCAGCGTCATGTAGGGCTTTGAGAAGTCGATGACCTTCTCCCTGACGTAGGTGATGGCCAGAGGAGACACTGCCAGGTCTGCTTTCTGCAATGAGATAATAGTGGTTGAGTGTGTGTGTGTGTGTGTGTGTGTGTGTGTATGTGTGTGTGCGTGTGTGTGTGTGTGTGTGGTGGTGGTGGGGAGGGGGAGTCAACCAATAAAAAACAGTCAATTGAATTAACCACTGATTTACGTCAACAGCTGGTCTGTTCAATATGTACAGGAGGAAGAGCCATGAGAGAGGAGAGGAAACAGACCATAAATTCAGAGGGATTAGCAGGAGGTTGAGTTTCTCTGGAAATTACAGGTTATATGTCTGATCCTTCTTATGTAGTGTTAAAAGTGAGTCACCAAGGCAACAATTTGGGGATTAAATTATTCTGTGACAAAGTATCCTTAAATCCCCTAAAATGTAAGATTAGCCATCATCGGTGTTACTTTTGCACAACCCCTCCAATAAATGCTTTTTTCATCATACAGTGCCAGTTTTTGTTTGCTTTGCAAGACTTTCTGTTTCTGTCGATATAGTATATTGTGTAGGGGGCGCTCTTTCTTTTTTCTACTGTTCATGCCAACTAATAAACTATGACTCAGTTGTAGAGTAGCAAATGGAAACATTTATTGAAGCAATCAATTACCTATATGTCTCAGGCATGTTTGGGACATTGCATTGTTGGCTGTTGTAAGTAAATAAACAGAAAATGCAGAAAATATATGTTAATCTGCTTTTAGATATTTATAGTAATGTATTTGCATTTTTTGCTTGCATTTTCTGCATCTCCCTGTGTGCACTCCTGGCGATTATTGACTCACATGGTCCATTAGCTCCCGCACCATGCCGTTCCATTGGCCCGTGGACTCATCCAGCGCTCCATACTTCCCATCTTCCACCAATCGCACCTCATAGTGGAAGCCAAGGATGCCAGAGAGCTCCCTCAGCAGGTCGATACAGTAGCCCTCAAAACGGTCGTTTCCATACAGAGGCTTGTCTGACTTCTTAAACATCACATATGGCTCCTCCTATACAGGGAAAATAAGTCAAGCTGTTTTTTTTTCTGCGCGTCGTTATTTTCTGTGTGTATTTGGTGAGTGAGTTTGTGCTGCCTGTGTCTACCAGTATGGTGGATACACGCAGGGATTTGTTGGCCAGAGAATCTGTGATGTTGGATGTCTTGCTTCTGTGAGACTCTGTCATATTGAGACCGCTGGGAGGATCCCATGTTCCAATCTGTTGAAACAATTCAGTGTCAAGTTTATATCACCTTGTCTAACGAGCATTCAGCCCAACATTTCCTTTTTTTCCCCCCTTTAAGACTCAGAAGTCACACATCATCAACTACACCAAGGTTTGACACACCTTATCCAGCCCATCCTCCTTCAGACTGATGACATCCAGGTCAAAGTCTGTCCTCAGTCCATTGGTCTTGTTGAAGAGAACACGTCCTGTCAAACCATCCCAGTGAGCCTGCGGACAGAAGCACACATCATAATAAATCAAAATCCTCAGCACAGTCATTCCATTAACCTTAAGTTATCATCTTTCTCATCAGTATCAATCTAACCCGCTGCCTGTAAAACTTTTTCTGTCCCAATTATGAATTTTGTCTGACTCTCCCCTCACTGTCTCTCTCAACAACATAACAAAAAAAACAACAATAAAGCAGCCAGAATAAAAGCAGTTTTGACAGGTGAGAGTTCATTATGCATGTGGTTCATTGTGATTGAAGTTTCACTTCAAAGCCATTGGAGAAACAGACGGGCATGGAGAGCGATAGCAGACATGGGAGGGGGAGGATGTGCCAGCTACTACAATGGCTCAATCTGAAAATTACCTGCAATGATACCATCCACAGAATGAAAGAGCTTTGTAGAACAAAGCAAATGGCTGACCCCGGACTACAGTTAAGGAGACACACAAAGGCTTTGATATAAACACGGGTGGAGATATGCACGGAGAGAAAGTGGGAGACAGGGAGTGAAACATCACAAAAAACATGTAGTTGCTGCGGATAATGCGATGGTTATTCAGATTACATTATGAAGATGATTTAAAGTGTTAAGAATAAGCAATAGACTTGGGACAGAGGGTAGGATTTGCTGGCATCTCGAGCTTATTTCATACTTGTCATATTGAAGCCGACGCGAGGCGCGCCGGAAAATGACGTAATTATCTCTGATTTTTTGTAACTTGGCACGCGCGTTCACATGCCTGTCACAAATAGTTCACTGATGAAAAAACAATTTACATGTTTAGGGATTATACTAAATAGGCCAATTCGTTTTGAGTTGCTTTAGAAACATGAGTTGGTAAAAAATCTTCATTTGAGTAGATATTTTTCCAGCCAAATCAAATTGTTTACAGGATATCCAACCTTCTTTTCTTTCCAATGCATATAATACTTGATTTTAATAAAGTACTCCATGAATATGAGATATGAGTTTAAAGATATTCACAACCCCTCGTTTATGTATTTTTGCCGGTTACACCTACAGTCCATGGGCGTATCTATGGGTTACACTCGTTGTCTTTTTGATTCCTCGCAGTTAATTTTGTTTGTACAGCCTCTGGCGTTTTCGGAGAATAATGCAGCGCACGGCTCATAGAGCATAAATGCCTCTGTTCATGCTCGGAGCTTGTGTGCCGTCAGCGGAGGCTCGCGCTAGTGGTGCAACACATTGGACTTTGTGAAGAGGACGTGCTCCCAATGTTGATATAAAGGGCCCATGTCAAGCTAACATAACACAAGCTAATGATTCTTTGTTACAGGCGATTATACACTAATTAATACATAGTTATGAATATTATATTTCATTTCTGCAAATAGATCCCCCAAAATGCTACACACTATGCCTTTAAGTATGTTCGTATGGGTTTTATCATAATCCTTTAAATTTTCTTCAACAGGAAGATAAAAATGCAAAAGTTCACAGGAAGCGCTCCAGTGATTCACAAAGGGCATGCTTGCAAACATGCGATTGCACTGATCAATATAACATGCCCGAGCTACAGTGTTCAGCACATTCCACAGGTCAGAGGTCAAGATAGGCTGCACGTTGATAGCACAGATGGCCTTGTACCTCTTTGATCAGGCTGATGAAACGTCCCCCGAAGCGCCACGGCTTGTGGCGATTACACTGCAGAGAGCTGACCGTGATCTGCTGCGATTGCTGCACCGCAACCGCCACCACATGCACAGCGTCGTACATCAGCGCCGCATCCGTCTGTGGACAGGAAGGTAATATAATTAGACATTTTTATGACACCTGCCAATACATCTGTCCACATGACCTTTAATCTGTCCATTTGTTCACCTGCGGAGGAATATAAGGAGCCGTGTGAAGTCTCGGGTGACTCGCTTTACTCTTTTGTCAGGACAAGAGAACATAAATTAGACGTAATGCCAGCAGTAAATGCCCCACACAAATTACACTGTGTCTCAGCCTGTTAGTGAAAATACCCGAGCACTGTTTGAGGCAATGAGAAAGCTCCGCCAGGGAGAGTCTCTCAGTCGAAGGCCGACCTGTCACTGTGAAGACTAATGGTTCCTGATGGGTGTGCCTGTTTTCTAGAGTGAGGGAATGCAAAACAGGCGCCAGTGCATACGGGAAAACTCTGACTGGTAGACTTGGTGTAACATGCACAAAGCATAGCTGGGATACATGGTTAACTGCATTGAAAATCACCTATGATAGCCATCCACATAACCCCAGTAATAAATCATCAAAGGGAGTAAATGCTCAAGCTAAAAGGTTTCACTGTGAGATGCTGAGGTTTATCTTTACTTTCTGCCTGGCAAACATCAATTCCTTTCATATCGTCTGTCCTCACGGTTTGAGACACTCTACATTTACCCAAGTCAACACATTGCAGCTTAGCTTCTATCCTCTTTCCATGGTCCCACACAGTCTGAAATACTCTGCGGTGATCTTATTTGGATGACCAATGTGAGGGAGTATGAAAAATGACTTTGAGCACAAAGTATGTGCAGCTATAGGGTCTTTGTGTATGTGCTCGCTGTCAGAGAGAATGAGCGGAGCTTCGGCACAGCAAGTCGCACCGCAGGAGACCCCGCGAGCTGCTGTTCAGCTCATATCAGTTCCCTATGTTGTCTCTATAGGTGCAGTGGAGCGTCCATACTATCCATGCAAGAGGAAATGAGAGCAGGAAGGGTCTGGGAGGGGCAGAAATTATACTACATCTACAATATGTCCAACCTATATTTATAGTGGCAGGTCAATTAAAGAAATAAATCTTACTTCCAAGAGCAAGAAAAAGAGAAATTCAAGATAGCGAGGAGGGGAGAGAGTGGTGTGTGGTTGCAATGGTGGGCAGATTGTCAGTTTTTAGCTCGTCCCCGAGTTCTCCTGTGCTTTTGGAGTTGGTGACTGCTGATGTCAAAGGCAGCAGCAGATCAGAGGATGGGGGACCCATCTCTGCACTCTTTCATCCCCACTGCTTCCCTGGGAAAGGGGACAGCTAATGCCATATCTGCTCTCACAGTGCAGGCAGTGTGTGGGTGCGTGTGTGTGCTAGTCATGGCAAATGCTGATTAGGAAAAGAGTGTCATTCTGCTCATCTATTTTGTTGAATAGTGAGGAGGGGTTCTGCACACAGTCGGCATCGAAACCCTATTTTATCCACTGAAGGGAAAGTTCATCATGTCCAATCATCCAATTATTGTGTTACCAACTATATACAAAGACTTATACGCTCATTTTAACTCTTCTACGGATGGATTTTCAAAAACAGCTCAGTCTGATTTGAGAAAGGTTGTAATAATTACATAAAGTTTCAGTCCAGGTCTCAACTACATGATGAATGAGTTGAATTCATGCCATTTAAATCAAATCTGTACTGCCTTCAACTGATCTTTTCTTTTTCAAATGCCTTAATATTAAATCCAGCTGGGTTATTTTAGCATCACGTTGATGTGTGACTGAAGGCTGATAACTCAAGAATTTTGTAAATGACAGATACTTTATGATAAATCAGATACTGCATATACCGTACCTCATTTCAAATCAAAGGAAAAGCCTTAAAACATGCTACAGTTAACATTTTATAGAGTTTTTTAAATAAACATGCTTCATCAGCAGCAGTGCGAAGACTTTTTTTTATCTGGGCAACCTAAGAGACAGCAGTTTGTTTATTGTAACCTAAATATTGATTTTGGCTAACAGATAGTATATCAGTCTTTTTGAGAATAGGCGTTTATTAGGTGTTTTACAGTGTGAACACAGTTGTGTATGCTGCTGTGTTTGCACACCAAGGCCAAAATACTCCACAGAACCCCCCATCAGGGCGGCTTGTGGAGTTTATAGGATTTATGTTTGTTATTGTTATTATTAGCTTCTCCTTCGACTTAACAATCATTCTTGGAAATATTTCCTCCATCTTTAACTTTTGATTGCCGTGATGTATCAAATATTGTCTGGCTCAAATGATTTATGTGACAAAAATCTTTTTCCTTTTTTTCCTTTGGAGCAGAACAATTCCTGAAAAGCCCTTTGTGATGGAAACAAAGAGAGGCTGGCATCAAGTGGAAGGAGAGATCAAGAGGAGGAAAAAAGTGAAATGATGGCTCACAGCTCTGGCAGATTGCATTCAATTTCAAAACAATCAAAGAGTGATCTTGCTATTTATTTCAGAGCCAAGCATGGCCCTGCGGGGTGTTTTAAGTGCTTTAAGTGAAACCAATCTCGAACCCCTGGGACACTCAGACAGAGAGGGGACAGGGTTTCAGACAAGATGCCCAAAATCTTTCCTGCCTCGTCTTTCTCTCTCTGTCTCTCTCCCTCTTTCTCCCTCAAACACCCAGATAACCATCTGCAATCACACAGTCTCCCTCTGATTCAATAAAAGTACAGGCCCAGATACCCTTTTACTACATTTAATGACTCACATCTTCCTTTCCAGCCCTTGATGTGTTCATCTCTACATGAACCCTCTCTTAGAAATATGACACGTGAGACACATGCAGGCATTAACACACATATGCAGAAACCAATTAGCAACATGCGTGTGCACCACACACACAAACAAAACGGGAACGCAATCCGGCATAGTGACAAACCTAAAGCTTCCCTGAGGCATGCCTCATTTGTCATAGTTGCATGCAGTTTCCTCATTTTGAAAAGGTGGACCGCAAACTCTACTGCTGCTGTGCACTGCATCAGTATTCACACCAGCTCTCCACCTGTGCATAATTCCATAACTCCTCTGATAATGTTGCACCCTAAAAAATGACATCTCTCTTTCTCCTCTCACCTCGTCTCAGTCAGTCGGCCTTTCCCCCAGCATTCTCCTAAAGCCACACATACATTTTACTTCCTGTCTGGAGATGTGTATTGTGGCTGCTTGTGTACAGAAGAGCCCCACTGTTTATACATATCATATACATCTGATTAGCCCTAATGAGATTAGCACTGACCTGTTATTCACCATGCATCACTGGGTTGCAGCTGCTAGGCACAGACCGACACCACGCACACACATACGCACACAGACACACTCACACACACACACTCACACACACACTCACACACACACACGCACACCGGCAGCATTGCCATCAGCATCAGAGTCACAGTGTCAGCGGGAGAGAGAGAAGCTCATTGTTTTCTTGGAGCCGAAGTCACTTTGCCCTCAGATCACAGACAGACCCATGGGGTTTGATGATTTGATAGAAGAAGGAGGTAATTATTCATTCCATTCCATAGTTTATATGCGTTTGTGCTGCTTCACTGCACAGTCGGTGCCAGTATTTGGGTGCCAATTTCTGCTGTCAGATACATTACTGCTTTTCTGAACTTTATTATGTTAAGTAATTAAATCTTCACTTGTCAAGTAGAGTTTCCTCTAAAAACGACGCCAAACCCTAATCTCACAAACCCCTCACTGAGTGAGATACTGCATTTGGTTTATCTGCCAAGATGACATTCTCATGATGAGGATGGACACTGGTGGGAAATTGCATGCACGTAATTAGGGATCAATTTCACTTTTAGTAAGGAATATGGCCTCTATCTTGTAAGTCAAAGAAGCAGACAGTTTACAGATGCTTCTGATGCTTCAAAATTGTCTGGATACTATTATGTTTTTGCTCTTTTTAGTATTACTGTAGTAATTCAATCATAATGTAAGATGTAACCACGTGTTCCTGGTATTGGTGTGTGAGACCTTGGGCAATGAAAAGAAAATGAAGAAAATGAATGAATAATGAAATAGTCAGTGCACTGAGAATTGTGCAAACTTTCACTTCTCGGACAAAAATGTGAAGACCAAAAGTTGAAAAACACTGAAATGTGACATATGTGATTTATGGGGCATATTATCGCTGTTTCAGGCCCCGTAGCAGAGAAGGGAGAGTAGGCAGTGTCAGATCATTTTGGTGGGGGAAAAGTCCTCGGGTGACTGCAGCTCAGAATGGTGCCATCTCTTTTTCTGTCCATAACTTTTACACTCCTTCTCTCTTCGTCTCTTTCTTTCTGGGTGCCAATGTTCTGCCCCTGTCTCTCCTCAGTCCCTACCTTTCATCTGTATTTCTGCCTTCCTTCTGCCTTCCCCGGTTGCTCTCTACAGTCTTTCACTGAGCTGTGCGTGAGTGTTGCTCAGTGTGGGTATATAGGGAGCTTTGCCAGTGTAGTCACTGTCATTCTTCCTCTTTTTTTTTGTGTTGGAGGTTTAATCCCTTTCTCACATTGCATTTCCATGCTGAGGCAACCGAGCAGCCTTGTTGCATTTTTTTTTACGATTTATTTTATTTTCCGCAGGAAAGTAGGACTGGCTTCTTCTGATGAGGATCCCTTGGCAACACATCCATTGATGGTGCTGGATTTATGTGAAAGCACATTCATGGTTTTATTGTAGATTTAAGCACACTTTAAAGGGGGATATAAAGGACTACACTGCAGAGATCTTTTGTTTAAAGAAAGGATCCAGTGGGAGTGGTGAGAGAGTGAGCTGAACTCTATGTCTATATACATGTATTCAGTAATGGTGGAGTTAAAGGACGCTCAGCTTATCAAATACCGAGAGATATTTAAATATTGACAAAACCTCCTCCCTGGCGTCACACTGTACTTTTATCAATATCTTAATGATCTTTTTGTTCCATGAATAACTAGAATAATTGGCTTTTTTTTTACCCTGTAATGCCAATAAATAGTACAATTAAACTTGGAAAAAAAGTCAAAGGGGAGAGAGAGGAAGTGGCCTGAAA